AACGAAGACAGATGACAGAGAAGACAAAAAGATATTGTTCAGTGGAAAAACTCCCACTGAGGGCCCTAACTACATTTGCTCCATCTCTAAATCTAAATTATATGGAAATGAGTGATTATATGCACCCAGGTCTGATCAACCTGTTGTGGGTTTGCCTTAGAAGAGGGTGTGTTTTGATTAAAAGGCCGAAACTCCTGTTGACGATAAGGTACAAGACTGAAGAAATGTCTGCTGGTGGTCGCTAATATGCGCTAACGACTGGTGATTGGTACCGATGTACTGTATTTTGAGCTGTGCTGTTGTGAATGGATCATCCAAGGTGTCTGTTAATTCCAGGTATGAACAACTTTAGTATCACATACATTTAAAAGCAGATTAAATATACTTTTCTATTTTTAAGTGTCATTATGGGTAAAATGTTTAAATGTCAGAAAATAGCCAAAAGGTCGGATATATAATATGCATTTGTTTAATAGAAAATAAAAAACAAAATAAAAAAAATGTCTTTATGTATTGACCAATGTACTGATGAAGCAAAAATGTGTTTGATAGTGAAGTTATTTTCTGATGCATTTCCTCCCACTAAGAGTGAAAGTCAAAAAAAAAAGTGTGACCATGACTGAAGGCAAAACTTTTACTAATGTATGGAAAAATAAAAACTGCAATAAAATGCAAAATCATGAATTGTAGGAAAACACGTCAGGCATTTTTCTAATATATGATGAAGAAAACTCATTCCCATGACTGCCAATCAAGAGCGCTAACAAAACTCGAAATACTTGTATGTGTATCAAAGTTCGCTTCGTCAAGGCATAAGTCAGTTTGAACATGTAAAATGTTCAAAATTAGTTTCCGAAGGTGATGTGGAAGTAGTGTTTATTCTGATGGAAAATATAGCGATATATAGTGTTTGAGAGAAATGTAAAATGTCTTCTGCTTTATCACCAGCAATAGTAAGGCACCATTTTGACATCACTGGGAGTACTCTGAGGTACAGCATCAGAATCATTCATGTCATCTTAAAAAGGTCCTAATTTTAAGTTAATATCACCAGGAAACAAATGCCACGGCACTTTGCTTCCTGAGTTCCATGTGTTGATGAAATTGTGCAGCGACGCCACCACGCATCAGGAGAAAAACTCTGTTCACCAGGTCCCCTCTGCCCTGTGGACTGCTAGTTAGCAGATGCTGTCTCAGCCTGCAACATCTTCTGACCTCAACCCCACTGAGAACCAGTGAGGCGGGCTGTAACACACAGCTGGAGACGTGACCTCTGCTTGCCAAGAGCCAGAAGCTTAGTCAGAGGTTTCTCCCGAAAAGTGTCAGCAGCTCACAGCTGCACGTTCAGAGGCTCATTGGCTCCACGAGGTGTCGAGCAGAGGCGGCTGCAACACGGGATCACCCAGGGTTCTGGTGGACTGCTGGATAACTACTGATGAAATGTGGTTCTTTTTTGAATGTGGACAATGTCAACAGAGATATGCTAGCGCTAGTGTTTCAGGAGTTTCTTCTAAAGGTTCAGGTTCAGTGTGAATCAGCACAAGTATCTGTGGGCCACTGGAAATATTGGCTCTTGAACAAACTTTAGCTACTTTCCATAGAAGTAGTTTGGAAGGACGACTGTTCACACTGAGACAAAACAAAACACCCGGAGGAGCTGTAAGTGTCAACACAGGAGTGTGAGCCAGTTGAACTAGATAATAAACCGATTTTCTCCTGTCAGCTACAGAATACAGTCTGTGTAATGTTCGAGTTCTGAGTGGATGTGCACCAAGATAAAAGCTTGAGCTCTGACACAAGGCAGAATGAAAATACAATGTGTTGACATCACAGGCCTATTTTACAGCAGATACTTTGACATGTTACAGTAGGAAAAACAAAAGTGTAAATGATGAAATGAATTACCATTTTTCTGCTATGACATGTAAAACGTACTGCTGTGTAAAGGGCCTTTTGTCAAAATTGTCTTCAGATATGCCAACAGAGATTTTTGTGACAAGTGATTAAGTCTTTTGCATTATGTCAATCTAAACCTATGAGTGATGCCGGAGTTTGATAATGATGCTGGTTTGCTTGACAAAAATTATCACTCAAATTTTAATTTCATAGGAAGCTTCAAATGCCACTGTAGTTGACCAGTTGTACAGGAAAGAAGAAGCGGATCATGATTTACTGCTCTAAGAAACATATCAGTGTTTGTATAAATGTGTAGAGAAAAGTCGAGATTTTGCAGCTATCACTTCACATACTGAATTAAAGGGGCCCTGTGGAGTAAATTCAGTGTTATTCACCAAAACGCAGCCTGTTTATCCTTCGAGGTCAAACGCGTGCAATGCATTTCCTTCCTTATTAAACATCCATAGAAATGTTTAATAAATGCAGTAAAGTTTATAACCAAGCTTGTGATACTATTCTTCTGTCGATGCTTGTGTATTGCAGCATATCTTGACCTATTAGTCAGAGGAACAGTGTGAAACCATTGGGAGGACTGTGCTTTGTCTCATCATTGCAGTTTCAAACTAAACTGGAAACCCCTCAAAAACTGTTTCTGGAATGCTGCTAGGTCAAAAACTTGGTGGAGGGATGGGGCCTGGGAGGAACCTATAATATTTTAGACTGGTATGGATTGAGGGGCAGATTTCTTTCAATTTTTTTTAACTGTTTTAGGGCAAATAAATCATTAAGATGATCAGACCACAGTCTTTTTAATTTTATATTTCTACTGCAAGAACTGTACATTTGTTTGTAAGATTGTTTGGCCTAGGAAGAGGTATGTGCTTTACTGAGTGCCATTCTAGTTGCCAGTTTCGTTTTTTTTTATAGACCTTTTAGTAATCCAGACGTCTGAACCATTTGGTTCCCTGCAGAAATATAATTGTATTCTGCGTATAACAAAACACGAATCTATTGTCTGTTGTATTTACCTTTATGAACTTTTTCATGAATTGTATTGTATACAGTCAGGTGGAGTTGTTCTGTTGTTAAAATCTGAAACCACAAACATTCTGCTATTTTAAATGATTCTAGATATTCTTATTTAAAATAGCATGTTTGCTTCTGGTTGTGTTTGTATGAATACATGTGGAGGCACGTGTGTGTAAGCAGAGTGAAGGGGATAGGGCTTAGAGGTGTCAGGAGCGTGGGTGTTTTCATACCGTTTGATCCATAAAAAGGCAGATCAAACCGAAAACTAAACCCTGTGTTACTAAAAAGATACCTATACACCACAAAAGTCTCACAATTCCTTCATCGTCGACTTTGTGTATGTATGGTGAGCAGCAAGTAGTTTCTTCCTATTTCCCAGAGGCTCAGAGGAATGGAGGATTTCACTGACGGAGGCCCGCTGACACTTCCAATCACATCTTCGTGGAAACGAAACGACAATTCTCCTTTTCGCTGTTGGGTGGAGTCAGGGTGGAACGTCTTTCTAGCATCTGCACTGGTGAATCCTCAAGTCCTCTTTGTACCAGCAAGAAGTCAACTCCTCCACCTCCTTCTAGATACCAGATGCCCAGCCCCTAGTCCTTCGAGATCCTAACCAATCTGGTATTTGTGTGTCTGTAACGACTAGTCCAAAAGTGTGTGTCTGTGTGTTGAGTGTAGATGGTTACGACACTGTTGCAACATCAAGAGACTTGATGTAAAACCATGTTTACCAGGTATCTCAGACCTGGTAGGTTGTCTGAACGTGACACAGGGACAAGCAAAGTTGTAAAATGTGTATGTGTAGGGAATGAAGTGCATTTCCTGTTAGGTGCAATTAAAAAATTAATTCATGCCATATTTTATGCAACTGCCATCAAAACTACAAGATACGGAAGGCCTCAAAAGACCATAAGGTTGTGGTATAACAATGTCAAACCAGTGTTTTCACTGGTACTTAAGAGTTGTGAAGGGTTTGATGTTTGGGAGTCTCCGCTTGATGCCTCAGAGCAAGACATCCTGAAAACTGTGGTTATCATTTTTTTTCTACTTTTGACTTAGATCTGAACAATTTTTAAAATATTGACTGACAAAAGAAACCTGCTTTTCCACATCACGTCATCACTTGAGAAAAGTTGATTCTATTTTCCGCTGTACGATGAGAGGTTTCTATCATTAGCATATTCAATGATTAGCGTATGAAGTGAGCGAAGCCAAGTCTGCAAAGCTTCTCTTTTTATAATCGTCTTTCCACAGTGTGATGCAAAGGAAGTTGATGAGTTCAAACTTTTTGGAGGATCGGATTTTAAAGTTGTTGTGATGTTGAGCTTCTTGAAGACAAAAATGAAAAAAATCAAGATGTGTTTCCATTGTTGAAATTATGTAAAATATTGTGTGATCATCTTCCAGTCGACTCTGAAATGACCATGTGCACTGCAGGTTATGATGAAAAGCGGAACCTCAATCTTGATTCTCAGCTCGCTCTGAAGTACAACTCAAACTCTTCAGGGCAGCGAAGTTGATATAAGGAATCATGTTTCCAGAAAAAGAGACTCTTACCAAAAGGCCCATTGTGTTAAGTGTTCCTCATCATCCTTCTGAGAGTGGTTGTCATGTGTTGTCAGTGAGTTTGCATAAGACCTCGGACAAACCGATCATGGCAATTGTGTTTGAATACATAGATACTAAATGTGGTAAAACATCCTGCCTACCCAGCACTACCCTACACAAGTGTATTTGGTATGTTGCTCATTTAGCACTTTCCAGTTATGAGACGTGTTTAAACGGGTGGGTTTTGTTGAATTCTGACTGAAGACCGTTTCAGCAAAGCATTTTGGACATTTCGATTCAACAAAGGAACTACAAAAGTGAACATACTTACCCACTGCTGACCCCTGCTACTTATCAGCCATCCCAGAGAGGGATGTGTATGTGTGAGCGTGCTTATGTATGATTGTGTAACATACTACAATAATTCAAAGAGGGAGGAAAATCTATGATGCCAAAAGAGACGATTTGTGCACAGTGTTTGAACTGCTGTATGATTTGAATGTGTACGAGTAGTGAGTGGTACATACACGCTGTGTACAACTTAGGTGATGGTATTGAAGTGGCCTGAACTTCTGTGAGAATGGGGTCACAGGATAAGGGAGATGCAGCCTCCCCATTTCCTCCATCCTCCTCCTCCTCCTCCATCTCCTCCTCTTCAACTTTTTCCTCGGCTTTTACTGCTAACCTCTTAGACGTCCTAACAGACCTCTGACCCTGTGAAAAAAATATATATGGAGGTCAAGAATAAAGATAACTAAAGGTTAGTGTTACACTGTAGTTTCAATTAAATCAAACACAGAATATGGAAAAGACCCAACAAGAAAATATGTTACCTATACACACAAACATCTGTCTCCATGATTAAATTCCTTACCTTTGCAGCTGGTCTGGCAGGGGCAACCTTTCTCTGTGGCCGACCTCTGGACTTGGGCACCTTAGGGCCAGAGAGTGTCTTCATAGTGAAGGCAGCGTGCTGAAGGATGCAGTCAGTGCTACAGTAAACAGAGTCCGGTAGGGCTTGTTTAAAGCACCCGGGTCCTATGCACAGGGGATAAGAGCTCTCTGTCTTCACCTCAGCTTCAGGTTCAGGCTCAGGTTCAGGCTCTAGCCTGATCATAGGTGCCTCCTGCTCCACCTGCTCCTCTTCAAACATCACAGCCTCCTGAAAACAGATTCTCATTTTAAACCAAGAGACCATACTTCCTTCATGGAACTCAGCTGTTGGACAGCACAACTATACTACTAAATTAACTACTGCTGTTGAACAGTTATTTTTACACTTAATTTTTTAAGAGCAATGAACAACCTGTAGATCAAAGTCAATTAAAATAAAAAATTTACCTTGAGGACTTGCTGCTCATCCCCTTCTACGCCAGAAGGACTCAGTGTCAAACACTCAGGAAAGCTAAGCTCAGGCTCTGGCTGAGGGTAAGGCTCAGACTGAAGTTGCCTTTTGGTTGTGCAGGGGGGGCAGATATACTCTTGCCCTTTCCTCTCCATCTTACTACCTTGTGTCTCACTGACACCAACACAGTCACCATGGAACCATTCCTGGCAAATGTCACAGCAGATCATGAACCTAGAGGAGCCAATGAACAAATAGAAGTGATGAGGAAGTGAAACTAACAGATGGTTCAGGTATGCAAACCTCTGAAAGTGCAGCGCCGCCTAACAGATCTTGTTACTAAAAACGAGCATGTACCTTTTGTTGTGTTTTTGTCGGCAGATGCAGTACAGAGCATTGGAGTCATAACCCTCACTGTCCGATATGCTTGAATACTCTGCTACATTTGTATCATCTTTCCCCTCCTCCTCCGGTACATCGTCATACTGGCCAGGAGTGACATCAGTAACCTGGTCTAAGTCAGTGTCTATGATTATGCAGTCTGAGTTTGATCGTTGCGCAGGACTCAGAGTCAAACCGGAGTGAGCAGGTGATATCTCAATTTCAGTAGGGACGTGTGGATCGTGTTCCTCCTCTTGCAACTGCTGCTGCAGCTCAGCTGCACTTACAAACATCACATCTTCGTCGTTGTCCACATCATCTGCAACGATTGAGGGAAGCTCTACTGCCCTGCCCCTCCCTCTGCCTCTTCCTCTCCCTTTTCCCCTACCTCTTCCTCTGCCTCTACCCCTTCCTCTGGCCTTTCCTCTTCCACCTCTCCCCCCTCTACCTCTTGTTTCTCCCTGACTACCTTTAGATGCCAGCATCTCCTTAATCTGTATCAGAGTCATGTCATCACTGTCCTCTTGACTAGAGATCAAAACCACATCATTTATTCCTCCTGCCACACAGTCGGAAGCAACCGGCTGCGAAATGTCCATTTCATCAGCCGATTCCATATTATCAGGCACTTCAGTTTCTATACCCTGTGGAGAAAGAGCTTTATTGGCATCAGTAGCTTCCAAAATGTCAGGGGCTGCAAGTGCATCTGACATGTCCATTGACAAGCCGTCATTTCCGCCTAGCAGTGAGAAAGCAGTGTGGAAAGCAGACCCAAAATCCTGCCATGAGCTGGGGTCCAGACTCCCTCCTGCAGAAGCTTCTGAGGCAGGCTTGCTCTCTTCTGAAGCAGGTGAGGAAGGAGAAGACCATTCAAGGTCATCAATAACACTCCTAGATGTAGATGCAGCTTTCCGAGGGGTGCAGGCCTCTGCAGCAGCCTGGGGTGTCTGATTGGTTCGACGAGCTCTGCCCCTGCGTACAGGTGGAGGGCTGTGTGTGAGGTCTCCAACTTCTTCCATGAACTCTCTTCTGGCAATGGTTGTCCGCCTGAAGCCCCAGGACTTTGTGACCTGCGACAGGGTTGGCCGAACACTCGATTCTGCGTCTTCTGTTTGGCTCAGCTGTTCCTCTATAGAAAAGGAGGAACACACAGCATGAACATAGTGACTAGAGGTGGAAATCTCTAAGCACCTAACAACACGGTTCCTATTCAGAGGGCTACTATTCAATGACAAAACAATTATCGATGTATCAAAGAATTTTATTTCGATACATGATTTATTCTTTTTATCACTGTGTGAGAACTAGAGGTGGGCATCTTTGCTAGCCTCAGATTTGTGCTTTAAAAAGGTATTTTAGACTGTTACTGTTATTACAAGTGTGATGTAATTTACAAAATAAGGATTTCATCTTGTCAGGGTGGCCACGCCTGGCCCCCACATGGAAATATCGAGGTGCAAAATCTGCGAGAAGTACCTCTCTCCTGCCTGCAGCTTGTGAGTGTGTGTGTTTGTTTGCCCGTCTCTGCTGCTCACAAAAATTGATAACCACACGTATTTAGTTATTAAGCGATGGTGTCGGATCATGAATCCGGATCATTCCGGTCACTTTAACTCTGATGTCCTGTGCGCATCTCATGTTGTGTGTGGCTACGGTGCCCACGTGTTTAAATACGTACCTCATAAACATCAATAATGTTCAGGTCCTAATAACTTCTGATTAGTGTTGGTGTTTATTGTTAAAGTGTAAAGTGAGCACAGGTCAGCGGGAGAGTGGAGGGAGGACACTCAGACAGCAGACTCTGACATGGTAAAAGACGCCCAGACATTTAATGTAGTCTGTCCTGATCATGAATATAATTTACCTGCATTACTATCATCTGTGATGCAGTTATTTTCCATCGAGTCCATGCTGATGTCCAAGACTGTCAAAACACAGAGGAAATAGTTCATTACTAAACCAGGAATGCTACGTGTGGTATGCTAGATACAACTAGGACTAGATGGAGAGGAAAAAATATATAATGAATCTTTATTAACTCATGAACACATAACTTAAATTTCTAAATATTGGCTATTGTGGCTGGTGACTCTCTGTTATTAATTTTTCGTGGGACATTGGAAAATGTTATTAAAACTCTGATTTAAGTACAAATGCGATCAATGTGTTATTTTATCACCAACACCACCCAACAATCATTGCACTCTAATACAACCGCCCTTAAGACATCAAACAGAACAGAAGTTTCTAAAATACCAAACTAAAACGACATGTTTACTTTTAATGTTGAGGAATAGATTCAGTGCATTCATTTTGTAATATTTTGTATGTTTGCCTTTAAAAATGGACAAGATACATTTACTGAAGTTAAGCATTTAAGTACAATAGGAAATAACTATATTTATTCTGGCTGCTTTAAAATCTTACACTACATTTTACTTTGTATGTTTACATTCACACATTAGGGTCATAAAACCATGTATTATGGTGATTATGATAAGCTGAAGAATTCATCAATCAACTAGTAAGTGCAGTTCTGCAGTTGCTATGTTAGATGTCCAGAGAAATCGATCTGGTGTGGTCGGATTAATCCTGCAGACACTGATCAGCAGTAATGGGAAGTCGGGGCTCTCACCTCCATGTTAGCGACACTCGAAACAGAAACTACAACACAGACCTGGTGCACTTCACTATCAGAACACAGTCAAGCGTTAAGAGCTCAGAGACCACGCGTCCTCTCACACACCGTTAACAAGCCCGAGTGTTTCTGCGGAGGGACAAGAGGAGGCTTGTGTCGGAGGGCGAGCGACATTGTTCACTGCGGCTAGTTGAGCTAACAGCTAGCTGCTGCTGCGCCTGGTAACACGGGCAGCACGCCGACAGAATAATGCTCTTTAAAGGTGAATTCAATGTTGCTCGTGTGTACACGGACACCGAGGTCAGAGCAGGAACATACCTTCGATGTAAAAACAACTGTTTCCCAGTTGCGGAGAGATTATCTCAGCTAGCTAGTTAGCTATCGCAGCCTTCCATTTTCTCTGCCGTGACGCCACGTAATCTCGCGAGAGGTCACGACGGGGAGAAGCCCCGAGGTCACAGCGTCCGTCGATCATTTATTTAATCTTTTATTTTATTTCATGAATTTTAAAAATCCTTTAAACATATCTCTTGGCTTGTACAAAGTTTATATCGGACTTCTTGTTTACCCCTGTTTTAAATCATAATAATAAAATATAGCTTTTATATAAAACATCCACATGTAAATTATTGATAATAGTAATAATAATAATTAATAATTATTATTATTTGAATATAATTGGGTCATTCTACATATGTATACATATAATAATTATTCATATGTTTTCTGTTTATTGATCCACATCTTAAGTTGATCAGTGGTTTTATGTGAATTTTATTAAGTAATTAACTTTGACGCATCAATAATCGATAAACACCAGACTGATCAGAGCATTTTTATTTCTGCTTCACAAGTCCATATATTGTATTTACAATATGTAAACAAGAACGAGACACAAGCTCAAAACAAACATGCTCACAGGAAATAATAACCAGCCGAAAATGCAATTTCTACTCATACCTACCCAGTTCTTAGACACAGTCTGACCAGGATTTACATCAGCTTTGGAGAACCGGTTAAACAGAGACTTTGCTCAGTGCTGACATTCATATGAAGTATTTCATTTTCAAATAACTTCTTTTTTTAGACACATAGAAATGTGATTTCATTTAACATACTATAAAAACATATAACACTATAAATATTGTTCAGTTATCTTCTTACAAAACTTTGTACAGTTTACATTTTTTAGGGGTTTTTTTTATAAATCACAGATATTTTTTCATGGAGGCCTTTACAATGTGGAGCAACAATACAAAACTGGTATGAGCCAAAAAATGTCGTGAAGACAACAATTTTAAAAACAGTCAAGATGAAAGTTGCGCTACTCAAAAAAACAGCACCGTTATAAATGAGCATCAAGTGTTGATTGGCTCTTTTGAATTGTTTGTATCTTAGAATATGGAGAGTAAATCAACACAAAAGCAGCATTGAACATGATAGTGTAGCAAATAATCGGTGGGGAGATACAATAAGACTGGGAACAAAGTGGGAACAGACGACAGTATGAAAACAGAGAGACTCACATTTTATTTCTCCAGACAGTCTACTTTCACATGGAGACAGATTTGCGGGAACTGCGACTGATTGACAAACCAAAAGTATCGGCCAAGCAGATGTACGTGTGGGAATGAAAAAATTAAGAGTTTCTTTTGTCACAAAGACACAGGGCTTCAAGCACCAAGTTTTACGGCAAATGTTTTTGATGCCACGAGCCCTTCAGTGGCCTCGAAAAATCCCCCAGAGTCTCTGTAGCGTCGCAGTTAGGTAACAGTAACGGCAGCACTGTCCTTACTCTTGTCCATGAATGAGGGAGAGTTGCTTTTGTCTGATATGGATCCTGCTCCTGGGGGCAGGGTCTGTGTGGCGGGAGAGTGACCTGAAGATTTGATGGAAGGTTCCGAGTTGGGCTCTGCCTCCGACTCCTGTTGCGAAGCTGTGGCTGGAAGGAAAAGCAAAACAGAAAATGAGAACACGGACCAAACATAGGTGCTTGTGTCACTGCAGAATCGGCCTCTTATCCCATTATTGCCAAGTCACACTACATATCATTTTAACTGTAAAAGGAAATAAAAGCTTGGACTCTACTGGACGTTAACGTTCAGCTGAGGGGTGATGTCTGGGTAGAACATGGAGGAGGCACGACCTGACGTATTAATTCTGCTGCTGAAATCTTTTATTTATACATTTGTGTTCTCACATACAGACCCTCCCGATAACTTCTGCAGAATATCCGCAGTTCAGTGCATGTCTGAAAGCAGCTTAACCCTGTAGCTCTTATTGCCTCTCATTCACACATGTCCTACAACCAATCTAAATTCTTTTTAGTTTTAAGTTGTTTTTTTAAGTTTTAGTCTTTATTTTCTTCATATTTAAATGTATTACTATTCTGGTAGCAGGAACAAAAACAATTTCACTACGCATTGTACTGTGTATGATTGTGTATGTGACAAATAAAACAATCTTGAATCTTGAATTTAAGTTGCAGGTTTGTGTCAGTGTACTTGATATATGCAATACTGGTACATACTGAGCGTGTCTGTATTACCGGACTGCGTGCAGGACTTCATGTGCTCAGGCCAGTGGGCTTGCTGACAGGGGTAATCACAATAGCTGGTGTTCCAGCAGCAGTAGAAGATGGCCTCCTTCCTGCAGTTGGCGCACCACTGTTTCTTTTTGGTCTCGTCCACCGCCTGCTGCTTTTCCACCTCCATCTGCTTCTTCACCTCAGCCACCAAACGTTCTCTTTCCTGCTCCAGACTCTGCCTCATCTCCGCCATTGTCAGTTCTACGTTCATAACATGTTAAAAAAAACAAAGAACAAAACCCAACTGTAATGACATGATGTTCAGGTACAGACTGGTTTAGTGGGATGTTAACGCTGACACAGGATGGTAGCAGAAAACGTACCTAGATTGTGCTTCATCTCTGACAACTCTTGTTGATGCAACCACTGGAGTTTTTCAATCTCTATTCTTAACCGTCGTATCTGAGACAAAAATACACAAAGATTATTATCCCTAATAATCTTATTATTATAGCACATTAATCCCAGTGTGTGCCAGTATTTACCTCTGCAATTGTGTTTCCTGATGTGTTTTTGGAAAGGTCGCTGTAGATTTCAGTCATTGTCCCTTTTATTGTGTCCATAATCTGCAAAGATTTGCCCCAAAAAATCATATTAGTCCAGTTTTGGAGACATAGCACATTTTTCTGAGATTCTTTTCTATTTATTAGTTGCCAATGACATGAGACTTAAAGAGATTATACTGCCTACAACAGCCTGTAAGATACATTACTGTGAGTCCTTTGAATCACTGGGGTGAGAACTCTTAGTTTACCTTGTTCGTGTACTTGGCTATATCTGCAGCCACATCAGCAGAGACTGTGGGGATCTGTACGTCTCCTGACATGAAGGAAGAGGAGCTAGAGGAGGTGACCTGTGCAGCTGTGGATGAGGATGTATTCTGAAGCGGGTCTTTGTGTTGCACTTGAGGAGATAAAAGTGAAAAAAATGGGAAATTATGCATCTTTTAATACACATTTATCCCATTATATTAAGATGACTGCTGAGATTGATGAGAGTAATGTGTATGTACCTTTGGCTGCTTGTCTGGTCTGATAGCGGGTGCTGGAAGAGGAGTTCTGCGGTTGAGACTGCAGCTGCTGTGGGCTACGTGTTTGACCTGGCGTCTGGGCCTGTGTTTGCACTGCTGACGGCTCTCCTTGCTGCTGCTGCTTCTGCACTTTCTCCATTTGCAACTTCTGAGAGGATGTCGGAAACTTGGTGGGATTCCAAACTACTGCCCGTTGCACGGCCTGAGCTGTCTCTTTGGGCAGTAGGGGGCGCTGTTTCTTTAATGCTGCAGGTACTGGGGATGCTGCAGAGACCGATGTGGAGGCAGGAGAGGCAGCACTGGTTGGTCCACTGGTACTTGTGGTGGAACTGGACTGACCAGATGCTGCAGTGGAGACGAGGTTGAGGGCAGCCGTGATGGAAGGTTGCAAGGCATCTTTCAGGCTGGAGGCAGCGTCCCGTGATGGTGCTGCTGCTGTAGCAGATGAAGGCAGTTTACCTGGACAGAAAAAATATAAATATATTGTTCTTTAAAGAGGGAGACACTCTGGATTTCTAATTAAGGCACTTTCAACACAAGAGGGCTGAATGAATAAATACTTGAGTTTGCTGGATTCAATTTGTGCACAAAGACCCAGATATAAATTTTCTTTATTATTATTTAGGATTAACAAAAACAAATTGAAGGAAGTAATTTGAGAGTATTGTGCTTTGGAAAATGCATTGAAAGAACACCATATTTTTTGTCTGTAAATATTTGACCAAATGTTCCCTATTGATGAACATTAGGATTAGGGAATAGTTATTAATACTATAGAGTTGTTTTCAGACATGAACGTCAACTGGGTCTAGACTTTCTCCGTTGTTAACTAAGTAGGAGATTTTCTAGGTCATACACTTTCACACCAACAGGAAAATCTCTGGAGTGTTCAGGTGAGGGGTCTCATCTGGGGAGGAGGCAGGAGGCAGGAGATTAAATCCCACTGCGGAAATCACATGTTTTTGATTACAGCACATCAACCTTGGCCCTTATCACAAAAAGCTCTCAGATCTCGTTGTCTCTCCAAGCTTTTGCTTTCATTTCTGACTTGTACTTTGTTAAGAATGAATAATGGTTTTTCATAAAAAATGTTCTGGAGAGGATTTCTGTGAAGTGCTGATGGACCTGTGTGGTCTCACCTTCCAACTTGGCAGCACTGGACTCTTTGAGAGTCTTTGCAGCAGAAGCTCCTGGCTCTCTTCTCGCCCTCTTTGAGTCCCGACCTCCATGTTCATCACCCAGGTCAATCACCAGCTCTCTTTCAGAATCAGAATCTTGTTCCGTCACTGATGGAGCAGCATCTGCTTTGCCCTCCTCTGGAGGTTTGGGCTTGTCAGCGAGGGGCTGAGACTGGGGCGTTCTAGGCTTGTCCTGGAGGTCCCCATCAGGGCCATTGGTACCCTGTTTCTCTTTGAGCAGGGGTTCAAGGGTGGCTTTATCCCCTGTCCCCATTCCTCCCTCCTTATTCTCTCTGTCCATGCTCGCCTTAGGCCTCTTTTTCTCTGCTTTGTCCTTGTCGTCCTGGGCAGAGCTCTTTGGCTTGTGTTCCTCGTCGCTGAGATACTCGCTGTCACTTGAGTCCGATTTGTCAGAGTCTTCAGAGTCACTGTGATCCACACCTTTATACACATCTTCAGAAATCTCATCGATCCCTGGATGGAGAAACACATTCTTCAGTATGTCATTTTAAAAAGAGACAGATATTGTAGAATAAAGACTTAAATATCTTTAGTAACAGCCAAACATAAAGTTTAAAATCTAAATTCTTCTTGCAAAATGAAATATTCTCGACATTACTGTTAG